GTACGGGCGCGACACTGAGGGTTGTGATCCGTTGCCGGTCCCGAAAAAAGGAAAAAAAATAATAATAAATAAAAAATAAAATAAGAGCAAAATAAATGAGAATACTTGCAGAGACACATTGCTGTGTGGATAAAGATGTTGCTATCATACGTCCATTTTTTTTTTTTTTAAAGATGACCGGTAAGGGGATCTCAACCCTTGGCTTAGTATTGTCAGCACCTCGCTCAGCCAGTGAGCGGCCGGTCTGTATGTGGGATCTGAACCCTCGGCAGGAGCGCAGTGCCAAGCGGCGCACTGTAGCAGTGCGTCACCGGGCCGGCTCGCTCAGCCAGTGAGCGGCCGGTCTGTATGTGGGATCTGAACCCTCGGCGGGAGCGCAGTGCCAAGCGGCGCACTGTAGCAGTGCGTCACCGGGCCAGCCCCATTATTTTATTTTAAAAAGAAAAAGAAAAAAGAAATGGAAGTACTAATACTAGTGCTAAAAATTAAGTGGGTGTCAAATGAAGGACTGGAGACTGGGGTGAATCTCCTGTCTCAATTACACTCTCACTAGACTGAAGCTGGCTCACTGTATGTTCAACTGTCAGGAAAAGGCTGAGGATGAATATGAAGTACTGAAGACATACCACAGATGTGTCTAAAGACAAGGGATAATTACAGATTTTACAACAAAATCCCTATGATGACTGATTGGGCCGGCCACTGCCGGCCTTCAGCCCAGACACTATGAAGTTTCAGAGGACTGAGGACCACTTTGCTTCAGAAAGAGCCACTCCAAGAACAAACCCTGAACTGACGAGGCACAGCTGCCTGAATTCTCAACAGCTCCTTTAGGAAAAAGTTCATTTTAGACACTGGGCTGAGAGGTGTGAGCAGAACATATATTACAAGTTTTTTTAAAAAAATTTTTCTTTATATGATTTAAAAGGCAAAATAAAGTTATGGGTCACAACAAATAATCAACAATTCAAAGAAATCTCAGAAAAAATTATGGGGCAGGAAGACCCACTTTCCATGAGGTTAAATGACAGGAGGGCCACAGGGAGGCTGTGGAATTCCAGTAGGAGAGCCGAGGGCAGACGCAGAGGCCCAGCAGTTCTATTAGTGGATGCTGTAGATTATTGCCTCCTGGGCTGGATTCTCAACTACATCAAAGTTTCTAAAACCAAATCTGCAAACACGGCAGCCAACACTGAGGCCCCTTCGTACAAAAATGGTGGCACAATGGCCATTCTGTAAAGTTGTCCCCAAAGCCACACAGATTAATTGACTTCACGAAGTACCAATAATCCAACAGGCCTGGAAAACTGATTCCCTCTTCATACTGGCAGACAGAAGACTGGAGAGATAAGATGACCTACCATATCCAGTACCATCACCAGGGCAAAGGTGAAACACTCTTTAACGTTCTTAGCCTCCAACGTAACCAGGTGAACCAGGAACTTACTGCCGAATCTCTGTGGGACACATACACAAACACTCATATACCCAGTAAGACCAATCCAAATTGGGTTGCCCAATACTTGTCCATCCTCCACCTTAAACTGCTGTGGGCTATAAATGAATTAAAATAATATTATTCGGTGAATTTATCCAACAGCTGAGTGGATAAACAAATTGTGATATATCCACACAATGAAATACCACTCAGCAATGAAAATTAACTACAGACACATGTATAGATGAATCTCAAAATAATTGAGTGAATCCAAAAAATCAGACAAAAAAGTACAGTACATACAGATTCCATTTACATAAAATTCTAGAAAATGCAATTTAATCCATAATGACAGACAGCAGATCAGTGGTTGCCTGGGGGCAAGGAGTGACAGAGCCCTTATATAAAGGCAGATGAGAAAACTTTCAGTGGTGATGGATATTTTCAATATCTTGTTCAGTGATGGTTTCATAGGTATATTCATATATCAAAGCTCATCAATTGTACATTTCATGTAAATATTTTAACGTTAAGTATGCAAATACATACTGACGCTCCTTGACTTATGTAAAGTTGAAAATATCATTACTATACCTAACCTACTGACATCACAGCTTAGCTTAATCTACCCTAAATGTGCTCAGAACACTTACATTAGCCTACAGATGGGCAAAATCACCTAACACAAAGCCTATTTTATAATAAAGCGGTGACTCTCTCATGTAATTTATTGAACAGTGTACTGAAAGTTGAAAACAGACTGTTTGTATAGCTACTCAAAGTACAGTTTCTACTGAATGCATATGGCTTTCACACCACCGTAAAGTCGAAAAATCACAGTCGAACCACTGTAAGTTGGGGATGTGTGTATCTATTTACTGATAGACATTAAAAAATGAGTATAATTTGGAGAATTTGACTTCTCTAGAAGCTACACAATCATGGAGTGTTCTAAGCCAGGGCTGGGAATCCAAGTGGAATTCTACCCTGGAAGGACAGGGACAGCTCCACATTATCTCAGTGGGCCTCCTAGGTGGCATCAGAGAGGTAACAACTGCCACCGTTGAATTGGTCTCCTTTATTCCCAAATGATTCACAGGAGGCCATGGCTCAGAGAGGGTCAATAACACGTACTAGGCCCCAGGTTCCAGGTCCCACAGGAGAGATGGCATTTGAGCCCAGGTCTGACTCTAAAGCCTGGGCCACACAATACTCCCATCCCAGTTAACTCCTGCTGTGCATGCTCCTTACTAACTTCACATTTGGAGCTCAGGGACATGCAGTCCAGAAAGCAATAAGGTGAAGAACTCGTTCATCACCGCCCCTGTTTCACTATGAAATACACCCTTAACCAAGGACTCCTCACTTAAAAGCTAAATTAACAATCACATCTCTCATCACCGTAGAACCGGTTCCAAACAAGGAACGCTGTGTTTATTTTTGGGAAGATTCACTTTTGCTGATTAATCACTGGGCAAATATTTATGTACAAATCCCCAAGAACGGCACACATCAGGACAAATCTTGAGCACTTCAATAGTTCCACGTCATACAGATTTATGATTGGCCAATCTCCCAGTAGGAAGGTTCACTGTTACACAGTTTAATGCAGATTTACATCTTCAGCTTGTTCCTTGAGTAACAGATTTAAGGGGCTACCACAACCTATGCCATTTGGAAGTTGTTAACGTTCAGCAACAAATTCAACTAGCATCAAAAAGTTATCACTACAAACATCAAACATTAAGGACTTGTTTCTGTCGGAGGTAAATTAAAAAGTTTCTACTCTGTAGAAAGGCAAATCTCTTTCTAAATCAATTAAACAGCTAGGTTTTCAAAAAAGAAAGGCATTTACAACACAATGACAAAACTAGATGTAGCCACTGGTTTGTATTTATAGAATGTCAGGGGTTGACAGAAAATTCCAGAAACAAGGTTGCCGTTCAGGTCACTTAAGACTCAGAGCAGTAACTCATAGCACTTCGTAAGTCCCTTAAAGTCAGGAACTATGAATCCATGGTTCCCAACCCTGGATGCACAGGAGGGTCTGTAAAAATAACATAAAAAAATCTTTAAAAACAAAGATGACAGGGACTCATCCCAGACCTGTCAAGTCAGCTAAGATTGAGACACTCTTGTCTCTTTTACTTTCCTAGCACAATAAGTGTTTTAAGTAAGGGTATGGCACAGATTATGTGGCTGGGGGCTCCAATGTCTCACACTACATCTAGACTGTGTCCTCTCCCCACTACATTAATGCAGTCACTCTCTACTCAGGTCTCACTCTGGACAAAGGAAGCCCAAGCATAGTCTGGGGCACAAAAGACCATGTCTAATCCAAATATAAATTAGTAAACCACAACCAAAGCAGAAAAGCACTCCCAGAGTTCTTAAGATAATGATTCAACTTGCTATTTTAAGAAAACTGAATAATCTCGGTGTAACATACGATTTTTAGAATAATGAAACGACTCTGAATGACACTCTAATGCACACATGTCATTATACATTTGTCCAAACCCACAGAATGTTCACCACCGAGAGTGACCCCTAATGTAAATGATGGAACAATGTAAATTCATCAGTTGTAGAAAATGCACCACTCTGGTGGGGGAGGTTGTGTATGTGTGGGAGCGGGGCGGGGGGGGGGGGGGGGGGG